ACAATTTATTAATAAACATGGAAAGTTCAAATTTTGATTAAATACGTAAAAMTCACGAATATTTGCAATTTATTTTGAATTAGAAATTCTTAAAAATTTACCTTTTTAAATTTAAGATTTGAAAATTTAATAATAGAATCTTCATGGGTTTGTCTACTTTTATCAAATAAAAAATGTGTATAGAAAAGTCAAATGACATTTTTATGAGCATTTGAATTACAACATTGGTTATTCACTCAATTTCTCTTGTACCGATATTCTTATTTTATTGTYATTCAAAAATAAATAACTGTAAAAACTTGAAATTTACATCAAATGTTTATTTTATGAATTCATATACTTGATAAAATTTTAAAACTATTTAAATTATTTTTCAGTTATTTATAGACACTTGAAATTTTCCGTTTTTTAATTTATATATTTCAATAAAATTCATAAAGTTCATCGAAAAAAATACTTGAAAGTTTAATACAATGTTTCCCATAAGTTTTTATAATAATTTGTAAAATATTAAAAATACATAGGTACGTTTTTTGTTTTTAACCATTGAAAGTTCAAATTTGTTCAATTTGCAATTTAAAAATTCTTTAGTGATTAAAAATGTATAAAACTTTTAACTTTTATAGCTCAGTATTGAAAATTTAAAACAAGGTTCAACATAAGTAGTTAATTCTGCGGTAAAAAAATCTAAAAACTATACTAACTGAGTTTTTTTTKATAGTTATTTTAAGTTCAAATTCGGATAAAATTACATATTAAATAACCAAGTTACTTGTGTTAATACTTAATAACAAATTTTATTTGAATGACTGAGTTAGTCAGGCACATAATGAATCTGATTTGATTAATTTGGAATCTTTTATAAGTATCTATTTTTCTTTTTTGAAATAATAGCAATATAATTAATATAGTATGAAACTATAAAATATCCTAGACTGACATTCCCGTCTCCTCTCAGAATCGTTTTTCGTATGCAATATAATGCATAATGATATTATATCATTGAATTCATATTTAACATCATCTATCACAGTAACCTACTTGTAAGCTACTGTACAGCTAAGCTACTTACCTGCATTTTTTATTGTTAAATTTAATAAAAAGAACAAAAAAATGTAAACTTTAAATTATTCATTATTTCAGTAAGATTTTGAATTTAACTCAGTATTCCTTAACTATGAAACTTTCTCAATTTAAATACATTATATATTTTGACATTTTGTACAGCTAGCTTTTCTGTAAAATATAACATATTTTTATGTAAWACTATATTAYTCTGATGTTTTTTTTTTAGAATTTATTTTGGTGAATCAAACAATTTTAGTGACAACAATGACCTCAACTTAAAATCATGTAATCCAAAATTGTTGGAATATGAAAAGCGTAAAAGTCGAATGATTGTATTTGTAGCTGATGTTTTTTTAGATGATCCTAAGGTTAGTTAAACATCAATATTTTATAATATACAGTAAGATTGATGAAGATAGATTCACAATAATATATAAATACTAAAATGTTTGCATTTATGGAATTAAGAACTCAGTTCAATTATTCCTATTTTATAATATGATGACYTTTCAGGTTAGGTAATTATGGATTTATCTTATAGACTTATAGTAAAATTCTTCCTATTGTTCCTAAAATTTATTTTATGTTGTAATATATGTAGTTCACCTATACAAATTCACATAATAATGAATGATTTTGTTCTGGTCGCTCATTGCTGAATTGTTACAATTAACTAGTTGTGTTTTAATGCTTTCAAATATTAAGTTGATATTATTTATACAAAGTATGATTATGTACATTATAAGTAAATTTAAAATATTTGTTAACCATTAAGTCCATTGATGGTTAGGTTGGTTCCTTTGAAGCTAGAAATTACTTCTTAGTTGAACAAACTCTTATGATTTAGTATTTATTATTTATTTGTTTTTCTATTGATCTTTTGTTGTTGTTAAACACTAATAATACTTCATATGGTTTTAGTGTACSCCCAACTTATAAAATAAAACAAGTAGAACATTTTACATTGATTTATTTTTAGGAAGATTAAACTTAATATTTTGTCCTAAAATTATATTAAAATGTTTCAACCTTTTAAACTTTAAAATATGAGGGATATAGTAGTACATTTTTAACTTATCAGTGTTTATTTTGTATAGGTCCTAAGAAAATTTCATACATTGTTAAATTCTTTCAATGATCTTGCTCCAGTGGCCATCGTGTTGATGGGTGACTACTTGTCTTGTCGTATACCTTCACATGCATATGCCCAGGAATTGAAAAATCATTTGACTCAACTCGGCCATTTCTTACATGACAACACCCCCGGACTTTGCAAACACACTTTGTTTGTGTTGTTATCTGGTCCTGGAGATCGTTATTGTGGTGCTGCAGGTGCAAGTATATTGCCAAGGTATTTAATATTTTCATATTTAAGTTCTCACTTATATATTTTAAATATTTAAATGAACATATATTACTATGTTTAATTTGTGTCTCTTAGCTCTTAAAATTGAATTTATTATTTAGACCTTTAATACCTGAGTTCTTAACTGAAGAATTCCGTAGATTAGTACCACGATGTATATTTACCACTAATCCATGCCGTATGCAATACTGTACACAACAGATACATATTATTCGATCTGACGGTCTAATGAAAAAAACTGTTAACTATGATATCAGACATGGATCAATGGATAAAAAAAAACCTTCTACAGTAACTGAGTCGGATGACGATATAATTAAAAATGTAAGTAACCTAAATTGCACCTTATGTTTGAATTAACTGATATTCATTTTAATTTGTGAACATTTGTGTATGTTTTATGATAACCTATGTGTACATTGGTCATTGTGCATACAGTATATAAAAACTTTGGAAAGCCAGTCACATCTWATTACTGTTCCTTTGGATGTATGTCCCACATACTGGCCACTTGCATCACATTCCTTGAGTCTGTACCCAATGCCTGATGTAGTGTGCATAGCAGATTCCAACGCCCCAGAATACAGTACTGTAGGTTCAAATGATTCCAATAGTTCTAGTTCAAAAATATCATCATCTTCAGGTTGCGTATTTTTCAACCCGGTAAGTATTAATTTAGTAATGACTATAACTTGGATTATTATAATTTATAATTTTAATATCTGAAAATAGTTAAAATGTGTTACTTATAGGGGGATCCATTTAACCCACAACATTCATTGTATTAGAAATCATTTAAAATTAGTGTAAAATATTACACAAAAAAAATTTCAAATTAATTTTTTTATGATTATCATTTTTTTAAGATTTTTACTTTTGAATGATAACAATTTTCTATTTCATATTTGTGTGAGTATTTGGATTTATAAAAGTCAAATTTGAAACCAGTTGTTTATTAATTATAAATTAAAAATATTTAAAATTTATATGAGCCGATTAGTGAATTAACATATTTCTTTAATAACAGCAATGAAAACATTTTTTAAAAAGATTATATAAAAKCTTAAGGTATGACTTGTTAGTTCTTTAGCAACCGAAGACATCAACTCAACAAGACAACTTACATCAAGACATCAACATACCATTAATATCCTCACTTGCCTCTCATCAATATAAAAATTTCATACAAYACCTTTAACTAATCAAGCCCGCTCATATCTAAACTCTCTTCTAGTACAGTCCCTGATAACCCCCTCCATCGTTTCAAATGCAAATGGCCGAGTGGCTTATTAAATAATGCCTAGTACTTACTTTATATTAATAAAGTTACCTTCCTCTAAGTTTAAATTGGATGTAGTGTCACTGGATGTCCCCTTTCCTCAAGTTTTCATGTGTTGTAAATATCATCACATTAACTTATTATATTAAGTTGTTTATAGATTGTAAATTTATTTTATAATAAAAAAAAACTTGTATGTAGATTTGATTGCATAATTTTTGATTTTCACGTTTTTGGGATTTTTGTCAGTTATTTTTATAAATTGATTTAGTTTTAAACTAATAGAAAACTTATTTTTTTATTATTTAATAGTTATTGATTGTTTTGATAAAATTCAAAATTTATTGCAAAAACAAAAAGTATTAAATRACATTTTGTTTGGCAAAACATATAATAATACATTTAATGCCTAAAATGAAATGATTATTCATTTTAATAATATTAAATAATATTCAGAATTAAAAATAATTTT